AAATCTCATGAGGTTCAACGCGGACAAGTGCAATGTCCTGGACTTAGGATAGAAGAATCCCTTGTACTGCTACACGCTTGGGACCAGCTGGCTAAGCAGCAGCTCTGAAGAAAAGAACCTGGGAGTTGCAGGGGATAATAAGCTGTATAAGAACCAACAGCATGCCCTTGTTGTGAAGAAGGTTAATGGCACATTGGGCTGCATTAGTAGGAGTATTGCCAGCAGATTGAGGGAAGTGATTATACCCCTGTATTCTGCACTGGTGAGGTCACATCTGGAGTCCTGTGGCAGTTTTGGGGCCCTCCACTACAGAAAGGATGCGGACAAGTTGGACAGTCCAGCAGAGAGCAACAAAAATGATGAGCCAGCTGGGGCACATGACATATGAAAAGAGACTGAGGGAACTGGGCTTATTTAGTTTGGATAAAAGACTAAGAGGGGATTTAATAGCAGCCTTCAACTACCTGAAGCGGGGGGTCCAAAGAGGACAGAGTTGGACTGTTCTCAGTGGTGACAGATGACAGAACAAGGGAGCGATGAGGTCAAATTGCAGCAAGGGAAGTATAGGTTAGATACTAGGGAAAACTCTCTTACTAGGAGGGTGGTGAAGCACTGGATCAGGTTACTTAGAGAGGTGGTTGAATCTCCATCCTTGAAGGTTTTTAAGGCTTGGTTCGAGAAAGCCCTGACTGGGATGATCTAGTTGGGGATGGTCCTGCTCTGAGCAGTGGGTTGGACTAGATGAACCTCCTGAGGTTCCTTCCAACCCTCTTTTTGCTATGATTTCTATGATTCTATGCTGAGCAGTAGTAGATGACCACAAAGGGTGAAATTCATTCCTGAGCAGAAGACTAGTATTGTCATTCCACCCCAACCCCTCACCTTAAAAGAGATAAACCCCTTTTATTTCACTTTTTTCTGACAAGTAAATGTAATCTGCTTGCATGAGTGTGCAGCTCAATTCCTTCTCTCCACCCAAGCTGCAGAAGCCTCGCCAGAGACCCTCCGTATCTGCTCTCTGTTTGCAAAGGTCGATGCTTCTAACTTCCGAGTCCCTGGTTTAGACCCTGATAACATCGGCCAGGATGGCAGCATCACATAAACATGCCTATTTAACTGCAGAAACTAGACTGTGAAGGTTTCTTCTGTCAACTGTAACAACATGTTCTAGTGAGGTCCAAGTGGATTCCTAGTAGGCCAAGTCCTGGTTCTTAACTACCTGACATTAGATGCTACAGGGGTACAAAGCAGCCACAAAGCTAACATATGTTAGGTCACACCCATCCCTTTCACATGTCTGAGCAAAAGTCATGTGGCCGGGGTATCTGGAACGGCCTTACAGCTGCTCTGACTTACAGTGAGGATTTGTTCAGCCCCATAATTGCAGGAGCATAATAATAAAGTAGCTTAATACCACCAGTGCAAATCTTCAATAGTCTTGTGCTTGGCACAACTCAGCCACATTGGAGGATCTGGACCAAAGATTAGAAATTCATTTTCAAATTCCAGTTTTCACAAAAGTTGTCTTCTGGTCAACCCTTTCTAATCACCAAAGATCTCCCATCTAGGTAAAATGTCACTACACAAAGGCTCAAGCTTCACTAGCACAAACACACAAACAAAAAGGCTATTTCCTGAAGGTGAATTTTGAAATATGTATTTTTTAAAATAAGAATAATCAGCCAGTCAGTCAAACAAACAACACAAAGAAACATCACACAACTCCTCAATAACAAACTATTATCTTTGACTCTCTGCAATGGACTCTATATTGACCTATTCAAATTACAAGGAAAATAATGCTAAGGAATTAATACAGATAAATACTTCAAGGTCCCACTGAAAATGTTTTGTGATCAGCAAGAGAGATGAAATTCAACGGTTTTAGCTATTCTGATTTATGCAATCAATTGTAACACAACCAAAACAAAAACCTGAGTCTGAATAACCTTGAACTCAAGGGCAGGTTGGACTCTAGACCCACGGTTTAGTGCTGAACCACACTGCTATAAATGAGCTGCATTAAAAGACTTAGATCTGAATTTAAGGCTGCTCTGTATTCAACGGCAGACTGGTTCATTTGTAAGAATCATATTTCTTCTAGTGTTATGACTTTCAGGGCTCTGACAGGCATTCAGTTTAAGGCATTATGGGATCTAAGACACAGTTCCAACCATGCCACTTCCAGCCATGCCATGCATGCATGGCAAGATGTGATGTTCGGATCAGGGATTAGATCCCTATTGCATCTTACTTGTCAGTGCAGGGTGAGCCTGGGATAATCCCAGGCTCCCCCTGCCCCAATCAGTTGAAATCCAGGTGCCAACAATAAGCTAATTGTCAGTTGGGGCCAAGGATACAACCAGGGTCTGAAACTCGCTCTAATCAGGTCCCCTAGCCCCAGTTGATAATCAGTTGATAGTAAAAACTGGGGGTTTTACTGGTCCTAGCACATGGGAACCCCAGGATCAGGCAATCCTAGAGTCCTTCTGTGCCAGGACCTTTAAAACCCTGTGTCCACCCACCTACCCAACTCCTCACCAAGTACAAGGACTTCAGGCAGCCTGAACCGACTATGTCCTGAACCCTCAGGCTACCTCATGCTGGATCCTGACACTCAGCTGAGTGTTAGGATCTGTCATGGGCCAACCCCTCCTGGTCACATGTTCAATTTAAGGTGCAATACAAATGAGCAGCAAAGTTGTTACACATCCTATGTGGAATAACTTTGTGGCTCGTTTACTGTGTTATCACACCTTAAATTGACTTTAATATGAGGCCGGATTCCTATTTAAGGCCTGATAATCGTATCTGAAACTCAACGTGCGTCAGCAACCTCAGTTAAAGAGAAGGTCATTGTTATGCTCAAATTAGTTTTCTAGGATCCAAATTAGTTGTACAGGTTGTACTTGAATCCAACATTAGCAAAAAAGCTTCTAGCTCTGTTGCATCTGTTCCCTATTATATCTGGCAAATGCATCTCTCAAGTGTTTTGCACTAGCAGGGTAACTATGCTACAGTATAACTTAGCATTTTAAACTATTAAAATGAAGCGACTTTTCAAATACAATACAAAATTCAAGGTTCCTCTTACATACTGTAAATCATCAAATATGAAGTAGCCTCAAGACGCTGTTCGCTTCAGTGAAGTAGTGACCATAGACCAAGGGTAGGCAACTCCCAACCATGGGTGCCAGAGCATGACAAGCGAAGACATTTTGCTTGGCATGCACAGCTCAGGGCAGACGGTAGGGAAGGGGCCAGGGCTGCGCTGCCATAACAAGGATCAGGCCCCTCACGGCTCTCCTACTGTCCATCCGTGGCTTGCCAACATCTTACAAATTGAGGCTGTGGGTGTTTTAGGCACTCTGCCCCAAAACGTTGCCGACCCCTGCCGCAGACATCAACCTGCCCATTCAATATGTTAATAGTGACTTCTAAGACTAATGGATTCTGCTTCCCATTCCTGGCCCAAATCCAGGAACGCTACAAGAAGAAAAAGAAGTAGCTTTTGGAGGAACGGAAGTGGGGGAATATTAGTTCAGTTTTTTAAAGTTGCAAAAATGCCCTTGTGCTGTTTAGATTAAATTCAGAGAAAGGGCATTTTCCATTTATCCCAATCAGTTCATCCACCCCTAACATATTGATAAATGTATCCCTTAGACCAACAGCTTAATAGGATTCTAAAAAGGATTAGACATTGTATATGGCTGATAACCACGTCCCAGTTTACACTGCAAGAATGATTATTTATAAGGGGTATAATCTTTCATGCTTCAGGGTATATGAACCAATCACTACCTGCGTGGAACAAGGAAGTATTTCTGTTGTGGTCGGATTATTCCATACGGTTATATCACGTAGCTCACAGCTCGCTTGGCTGGTAACTTTTTATCGTTCTGAACAGAAACCGAAACTGAAAAGTAAATCATGGTGCCTGAGGAGGTACACAGTTTAACCACAGTTTAACTACATAATGACTAAGTTACAATAAGGCATATTGCCCACGATGATTAAGTTTTTACACATTTGGAAAAACTGGTTACTGCTTCAGGCCTAGCCTAGGATTTAGGAGACCAGGCTTAAAAGCCTTGCCCAGGTGCAGGCTCCTTGTATAAAACATTGGGGAAGAGACTTAGTTTTTTTGGTATTTCAATTTCCCTACAAGAAAATGGGGTATGTGCTTCCCTATTTCCCAAGGGTGTAGTGAGGACAATGACATTAAGGACTGGGACACTAGAATGGCTGTCTTATCCAGAACCCTCTTGGAAACAGATTCCCAGTCTAGATTAGGCCAATGACCTCCCCAGCCTTTTGCCAATCCATCAAGCTAACTTCAATATCCCTATATTCCCAATTCCTTTTAGCTTTTTGAACATCAAAAAATGGCTCTTTAAGGCATGCATGTGCACACCCACACCCAAAACAGCCTTGAAGGGATGGGCAGAGGTGGGAAGAGAGAGAGATCATATAAGACCCTAGACCAGTATTTGTTTCTCTGTAACAAACCCTTCAGTTTGAAGCATGACACTTTCTAATTTATTCCTGATGTGTAGACATCAATTAATATATAGAAACCAAGAGTGAGACACACAACATTTTGCAATTAAATTCATGAGAAACACTTGCAAATAAACTACTCGTGAGACTGATTAAGGGAAACACTAATGAGAAAACATGTGCCTACAGGATCTGACCCTCTTTCCTGTACTAATTTACACCTATTGATGGCTTTACAAATAAAGCAATCAAGGCATATAATGCAGAAACAGTTCTATGCTCTTTTCAGCTACCTGTAAATCAATCATTACAGACTGCTGTAATAGCCTTAAGTGCTAAATTCAAAACTGAATGCGTTAACTAATGAGAAGAAAATCATCATGCACTCAGTCTGTTTACTGCCTGTAAATCAAAAGTTAAGATCAGGCTCAAGAAGGTCTGTGAACTGTATTACTCATTAACGTCAAGTGCCTACTGACAAGCACAACTAGCAACCGTACCATTGAATTTTTCAAGCTCTGTAGTAAGCGCTCATGTTGTTCTGCTATGGCTAAAGCAGCCGAGTGAACCTTCTGATAGATTGCCTCCCCATCTCTTGTCTGAAAGATGAATAGTCCTTCTCCTGTGTCACACATCCTGCCAAAGTGAGAACAGAAAGGAGATTTTCACTTAGGACGATGGGTAAAGTATATCTTTTGCCAGTGCTATCATAAAAGTGGTATCGAAACAAAGGGTAATAAATATAGCAAATGGTTGCTTGGAACGCAGCACCCAGATTTCCATAAACCTTCATAAAAGTATATAAACCCACCAGCATGTGAAACAATTGCTCATTATCAACCACATAAGCACCTAGCTCTGAACCCCTTACCTGTGATGCCAGCACTTACTTATATACTAGCAGGTACTCAAGTTTAGGATTGTAGAAATAGCTCCTTGATGCATTTCAGCCCTGAACTCTGTGTGATATACTGGTAATATAAAACAATTCCTAAACTATGACATGGGCTTCACTTGAACCTGATGTTCCTTTTAACTTCCAGTTCAGACCTATCATTTCTAGTGTGTCTTAGTATGTTTTGGTGCAGGAAAGCTCAGGCTGACTCTAGGGGACAACTCCTAAGCTTTGAAAAAGATGCAAATTCAGCTCTGGATCCAAATTGAAACTTAGACCCTTGTCTAGATCCTATATGACTGAGATGAATTCAAATTATTATTCTCTTTTTAGATTTAGTGCAGATGAGGGCAGAAACCAGGAAGCCTCTCTCAGAGGAAGCCTTATATTCTGCTTGCTATCAGAAGTGCTAGTAAGGGAGGAAGTGCTACTTTCACATGCACTCATTAAAAACACATAGATGTGAATTTTATTAAACAGAGGAGACCAATTTACAGGAGTACTGAAAAAGTAATTAGTCTTATATTGATTTTATGCAGCATTAGAGGGCACAAAACTTCCTCTAGGACCCATATAAAACTATCATACAATTTCTCCTCAGATTTTTGCTCTTTCAGGTCTACTGTGAAATATCCATCTTAACAGGAAAAAAGGTTCCAATAAGAACTAAAATCAATTTCAACCCAAATGGCAACAGCTTAGGGTGACATGGATCTTGACTCCGTCATTCAACTCCCTCTAAATTGAAAGAACTCCTCTTTAGTTTTGAGACCACAGTTTTGCCTTCAATGAGATACTTGTCTGTGTCCCAATTTTACTTGCTAGGGACTCCTAATTTCATCTTTGTGGCTAAGAAATATACTATCAATTAAACAACGAATTGTCCTGCTCCTGCTTATCCGGGAACTATTCTAAGCTAATAGGGGAGATGGAAATGATGCTTTTCCTTTTCTAGTTCCTATGGTTTACTCTGCTACTTCCCTTTCAGCTCTATAACTTCTCTTACTTAAATCATATCATCCAAGTGTCGCTTATAAAGCATATAGCATTTTAGTTGCATGAAAAGTCTACAAGCATAGCCTCATTAGAACCTGACTGGATGTAATTAAGAACTGTACCTCAAAAGCACAAGGAAGTGCCACTGGATTCATCACGAAGATAGCAAGTGGATTATGTACTTCATTTTGCATATTTAATTTGCTGTAGGGAATGACCTGACATTCAAAGGATCTGAATTTTAAGTTCCACATTGTAATGAGAAAGAACTGCTTAAAAGTCGTGAGCTAGGTCATGAGTGGTGGGTGCCACCTGAATCTGGCAGTGTGTGTGTGGGGGGGAACATGAACCCCTGTGCACCCCCTACCAGTCACCTACGAGCTAGGTATAGACAGTCAAAAAGCTTGAGGCAGAATTGATTAAAGTTCTGCATTTTTCTGTAAGTAGTATAGTTTAGATTGGTAGTGAACAAAACACACGTTCACCCTTGGGTGTGAGAGTGAAATCTTAGATGGGGTTCTGGCATTTCTAAAGCAGTCTGTGTACACCAAACTTCTGTTCTTTTAGGGGTATAGACCAGTTTATGATCACCAGAGATCCGGGTTTTCTGTTTGCTACAGAAAAACACAGAAAAACACAGAAAAACACCAATTTTTCTCCTTTAAAAGAGAAAAATGTGGCTTTTTCCCTTTAACCTGGAAAACTGAGGGTTTCCCCTTGCAGGCTGGCAGAGTTCTAGCCTGAGAGGGGATTCTTGGGACTGGGGGGGAGTGGGATGCAGGGGGTGCCACATGCATGTACACACACATCCATGGCAAACAGGCAGTGTGGTGGAGAACAACTCCCGCAGCTCCCTTGAGATAAGTCTATGTAGGTATGGAGTGGGCAAAGGCAGTGTGGTGGGAGGGTACAGGAAATGCATGGGAGGAACAAGTGATGCATGGGGGGAGGAGGATGTGCTATCCCCCTCAGACTTCTGTGCCCACAGCGAGGCACGAGGCTGCAGCCTGGCCTGACCAGCTCTGGGCAGGAGATGCCTCCATGGCCCAATGGATGGGACCCAGCATAGGAGGGAGCACTGTACTGCCATAGCTCCCAAAGTGAGATGTGCCCTGCCTGTCCAGCAACAGTGAGGGGCACAGCACTGCATCACCAGTGCGACCACTGCAATGCCTCACATTGGTAGGCATGGCAGTGTGGTGCTGTCTCACACTGGGTCCCACCTGCTGGCTTGCAGAGGTGGCTCCTTCTCTGAGCTGGTCTGGCCAGGCTGCAGCCCCACACCCCACACCCTCTGTAGGTGCAGAAATCTGGGGAGGCATGTGCCCACCCCGCTGCCTGACATGTTGCCTGTGACCACACGTCCCCATTCCCACATACCCAACCCATTCCCCATGCACTAGTGGGGCTGGGGGCAGTGGTTCAGAAGTAAGGGGCACCAGCAGGGCTGGGGGCAGTGGGCTGTGGGTTGGGAGTGAGGAACAACAGCATGGGCAGGGGCAGGGTATCAGCATATTGGGGCTGCTCAGCACCGCAAGACAGCAAAGGGGACAGCTACAGCTGAACCCATGTCCTGGTGAGCGAAGGGGGTAGGACAAGCTGTGATTTTCCATGATAAAAAAACCAAACTCAAATGACAAAAATATATATATATATTAACGGCTGTGCGAAGTGGCACCGTTCCATTTCGCCATGAGTTTCAATGGTTCAACAGAACAGTGTTTTGTCTCGAATTTCATCTCGAGTCAAAACAGCTGTTCCGTCGAAACAGAAAGGCTGTTTCAACACTTTTTCAAGTTTCATTGGGGATGGGAAGTCAGACCAGCTAGGCTGACTTCCTGTCCCCAGAACTAGATCACTCCAGGAGTGGCAGGCAGCCCAGCTGCGCTGCTTTCTTGTCCCCGGCGCTAGATGGAAAGCAGCCTAGTTGGGCTGCCTTCCACCCCTGGTGTGATCTAGCACAGAGGATGGGAAAGCAGCCCAGCTGGGCTGCCCTCCACCCCCTACCGGATCTTGTGCTGGGGATGGGAAGTCAGCCCAGCTGGACTGACTTCCTATTCCCAGCCTATGGTCAAAATGTTTCAACTTTCAAAACGTTTTGACCAGCCTCATTTTGTTTCAAGGCTATTTCGAGGGCCTTTGTTTTGTTTCAATTTTGCTGTTTCGACCTTGAAATTGGTAAAAACAGTGTTGAAATGAAATGGCCGGTGAAATTTTGCATAGCCCTTATATGTATATATATACACACACACACACACATACACATATACATACACACATACACATATACATACACACACACACACACACACAATTAATTTTATTATGAGATTGAGGCAGTGGTAGGTTCCCAAATTGCTATAAATTGTAAATAAATCAATAAGACATTGTGTTCAACTGATAGGTCTATGTCTATGTCTCATTTCATTTTAATTGCAGGAAAAAACCCACTGATTTTTGGGGTTTTAATCAGAGAAAACCAGGGTCTCTGCTGATCACTTATACCAGCAAAAGTTTAAAGTCTGTACCGGCCATGTTCTTCATTATGACCAAGGCCCAATCTTTGGTTCAACAAGTTACTGCAAGAGCATGTCTTTCTTTTCACATTTAATTCTCGAGGCTTATGTGGAGCATTTATGAAAAAATTAATGCATGGCAAAAAGAAGAACTAATATGCAAAAGCAGTGAGCCTCCAGAGCTCTCCTCAAAACTAAAACTCTTGTACTGTGCACTCCTATTCTCCCCACATCATCTTCCCACATGCACAGTTGTACTTACTTGACAGTGGCTTTTGCTCTTTAAGTCATACCTTAAAGTTACATATGAAAAGGCTGAACTATGAGCATCATCCCTGTAGGGTGGAATGTCCCCTCCATACTCTTATTCACTTCAGTCAGAGGTGGGTATGCTCTCTCATATCACCCAGGAACAGTTCCTTATACATATGGATTACAGCACTATAGCAAAGCATGCACTCACCTCCCTGCTTCAAACGTAAACCAAGATGGGTCCCGTCCATAGCGTCGGAGGGCACTTAGTGGCCAAGAAATGAGTTTTACTCTGGGATTCTGGATGTCCCAAAGACAGATATTCTCATATGTTATCTGCAAGGTACATTCCCCATGCACATCTAAATTAGGGGATGGCATCAAATACACATTGAATCTCTCTGGGAGAAAAACAAAAGGTTAGTCTAAAATCCCTGTAAATTAAATGTTTAAGACATTATAGGATTTACCTGTGTTATTTATATAATTATAAAGTCTTATTTCTACTTAAGCAATTACTCTAAGAATAAAAAGATTCCTTTCCTTTGATCAACTACACTTCTTTCTCTCTCTCTCTCTCTGTACACACATAAATACATACATACTGAAATATATATACACACATACATACACACACAGCAATACAGTAAAGTCACTTAAATAGATCTTAAATGCACATTGCAGTTCATGGAAGTCACTTGAATTCCTGTACTGTTTCACAGAATTGTAGAAGGAAATGCTAATATCTACCTAGCAGCCTTAAAATCATTGAGATAAAGCTCTTTGGGGCAGCAGCCTCTTTTCTTATACATCTATAAATGGGCCTAACAAAGGACTGAGGAAGAAAATCTTCCCAGCTGCAGAAAGACCATGCAAAGTCTGAACTGACAATATTCATCTGCTTGGGACTTAGAGGATTGGACCATAGAGAAATGGCGCAGAGGAGTTTCATGGTTATCTGCTTGGTGCCAACTTAAGTTTTGTATTGACCCACTGTGTGAGAGAATGCAAGGGAAGTGAGTTTTGGTTAGGCCTAGGAAGTGACAGGGTTATTACCAATACAGTAAGAATTTCACAGGCCACAAATTTTGTATGCAAGGTTCCTGCATGCTGCAGCCTCTCAGGAAGAGTTCTAAAACTGTCCCCTCACCTAGCTCCAGTTTGGGATTATATGGAAAATTCACTCTCGCTTGTCCAAGTAAAGACATGACACATGGGTCACAGCAAAACTCTATATGAGTTGTTCAAGTCACTGTTCTATGGCAATTAATTTCTTTTTTAATAACGATGGTTGTATTAAAAAAATCTCATAAAACAAGGTTAAGTGCAGTTCAAGTCTATGTATTAATAGCTCTCCGGTGTGTGTTAAAAAGACTCCCAAAGATTCTACATGCACTGAATTCTGCAAAGGGGATTTTCTCAATAATCCAGTCCTCACAGATGTGTAATTATCCAGAGCCACTCACCACTTGTCAAAGCAAGCATTTCTCACTGCCAGAATTTTTTTTTTTTTGAACTGAACAAAAAAACATGTTTCCAATCAGAAGTAACAGTGGAAAGGCAGAAGCTAGGGTAAAGATGCACCTGGTAGATCACAGGTATTCATCCTCCAGCCTGAGAGCCAAATCCAGCTTGTGAAGCCATGGCACCTGGCCTGTGGGGATCCTCATGGGTTGGAAAATTTTCCATCGGGGAAATGGCGGGAGGTCCTCATGGCCAGATCCAGCCCTGGGCCACTGCCACACAGCAGGATCAGGGCTGGGCCTGTCCCACACACCCCATTTCCAAATCAGACCTGCCTCCTCCCCCATTTGCACATCCAGAACAAGACTGAGCTGCTCCCCACCCCCACCCTGAGTGAATGGATCAGGGTTGGGTTGTGCCCCTCCCCACCCGCCAACCCTATGGCTGAATTGGGCCCCTGCTGCACAAGCTGCCAGTACCAAATTGAGTCCACTGGCTTCATCCAGCCTGCTGACTGATCTGGCATCACCCATCCTGCCTGGTTGGACACCACTTTTGTACACTAACTGAATCAGAGATGAACAAGCTTTTCAGAGAAAGAGCTCACTTCAGCAGACAATGGAAAATTATGAGTAGTTCTGAAAAGTAATGGTCTTAATTTCAGGTAGGGATAGTATATGACTGGATGAAGTGGAGTTAAAATGCAATAAAATTCATACCTATTATAAAGCCTATTATTGAAACACACTAGTCAGACCTTTGATTTCTCCAATCCCCCCACCCCACCCCTCCCCCCAAAACTAATTAAAAAATACAGGAGAATAATGGGGAAAGTTTCATGTTTTCTTTGAGTGAAAAAGGCAAAGCAATACCTTAAAAAATAACTCTAAAGCTTTATCGCTGATTAAATACTGAACTGACTTTTGTAGTTACATAGATGAATTACTGAAGTACACCTTGAGTATGGGTTCCAAATACAGCTTCAGTTTGGAAACAGGATGATGGAAGTAGCAGAAGGAACTAATCGTAAATGAAAATTAACCATGAACAGGCACTTGACCCGCTCTTGCAGCCAGGGCTGAAAGGCACTTTTATGTTTCTACATTATGAAAAATAGGCTGCAAAAAAGCTTTGTACAAAAAACTCCCAGTTAAAAGTCTAATTTTCTACCGAACAAAGATGTCTAAGAAAGTTTTGTTCTTTTCATTGTAAAACCAGATAGTGCCAAACGAAAGGCTTTCAGCCAGAAATTGAAGTGTCATTCAAAAGGGCAAAATTATGATTGGTAGATCTGTTATCATGCTACATGCAGTGTAGTGCAAATGCTCTCTTTTCCTGCAGTTGGGCTTCACAGTGGACTTCATGGCACCATAACCACAAGTCTTACATGGAAAACTCAGCAAAAGGGGAGACTGGTGCATCATGTTTAGTTAGGGAAATACAAATTTGAGATGTTTCCATAGGAACATTTCCAAAAGCATTTAGATATACATCGGCATCTGGATATATGGAAGCCATCTACCACTGTAACTCTGATTTTTGCAGACAATTAATAAAATTGGGTGAATAGATTTAACTGCTTGCACAAATGGGCTTGCAGTGCTTTGTGATTTACATATGCAAATAAAAGCATTGAATCAAATTATGCACAACATTTTTATTTATACCCCATTCATCACTAAGAACCCCTGTTATGGACAAGGACCCTGGTGGGTTAGATATTATACAAACATGGTTCCTGCCTCAAAGAGCTTATTGTGCAACTAACTTGTCTGAAAACAAAGTCTAGAATATTTTTAAAATCCTGAATCAAAGCCCCAAACTAATGCCATACACTATTTTTGGTAACAATAGAAATTTTAAAAAATAGAATATTTAGAAGAAAAAGTCTTCTGTTCACAAGGGTGTACACCCAATGTACATTTTTGGTTAGGTACACAGCCCAAACCATTTAAGCAATTGACTCATGCACTCAAAATTTAAACATAATCTATAGGAGGAAACAAAAAAAATCCCATAGTTATGTACATACCACTCTGCTCCCTTTCTACACCAGATGCCAAAAGATCAGGTTCTCCAAGGCTAATGTCATTAATTCGAGTTCCTAGACACTCCATCTGCAGCACTTTGCACCATTCATCTGCCTCAAGTTCTGCATAAAGACCCAGAAAAATCTGTGTAGGTATTATATGCTTCTAATTTCACAATTTACATTCCTGTGTTTTTTGATTTACTAAGCCATTTTACCCACCTGATTCACAAGCAAAGGTTTTGGATGTATCATCATTAAAATAAATCCCAACAGCATGTTTCTTTGTGCTTTTTGGCAGTCGTAATATGTTTTTCACATTATTGAGTTCTGTGACCTGCAAAAGAGCAATTTGGAGCTCTAATTAGGATCTTGAATAAAGACTATTGACTGGAGAAGGAGAGGAAAGCAAGAGATTAAACCAATCTGCAAAACAAGGAGAATGAGCCCATGAGCACACTCAAGGAAATGTCATCTTGACATGAATCAGCTTAACTGTTGACATAGTCAAATTAACTCTTCCCTGGGTTCATATTCTATCTGTGTGCAAGCTCCAACTTAAGTCAATATAAATAGGACACAGATCACGCCTAAATTAAGACTTGGGAGAAAGAAGTGGTGCAAGAGAAGTATCAATAAGGACCAAGAGACGAGGTTTCATCTGAACCATCCACCTAGGCAAGCGAGCCCCATTCATTTGCAGTTTGGTTGTTGAACTAAATATTAGGGTTAATGAAAATGTTTCATTTGAAGTATTCTTGACGGGAAAAGTGAGTTTAATAAAAGAGTCTTCCTTTCCTTAAACCAATTTGTCACCATCTTTTTAAATGCCTGAACCCTCCCAGACCCACTTCCCTCCCCAACCCCTGAAGAAAAAAAAAAAAGATTAAAATTCTTTGGTTTTCAGTTGCTTGTCTGCCAAAGCCTGAAAAAGAAATACAGTTTACCATTTAGGATAAATGATGGAGTAAGTTACAACTAAATAGAGTGAAGAATAGCAGAATTTGGTCAATAGTATTTGGTTACAGTAACACATAGACTGTGATCATTTATCATAAAAGCTAGGGGAAATCCTACCTGCTGAAGTTCTGAAATTTGTTATAATTTCTTTGTTGTTTACAGGCTCTAGATAGAAGGGACAACCTCTATTCCTACAAGAAGAGCAGTTGCAAAGAGGTTGTGCTGCTGTCAGTGCCCAGGCTGAGGGCTTAGGTCTACGTGAACAACATCAAAGCCTTACAGAATTTCCTGAACAAAGCATAGGTTACTGGCTGTTAGCCCAACTGATGTTTTAAGGTATTTCTGACTGAAGAGCTCGACTCCATGGTCACAGAAGGTAAAGAAACTCCATTGACATAGTATTTATGTATCGATTTAACCATCATGGAGGAGGAGGTGATAGTCAAGAAAAGCTTTACCAAGCTTTCTCAAACATTTTACACAAAACTGAGCACCTTTACTGTAAAGTTTTCCTCAATAAAATTCTTCTGCTTCCACATATTCTGTGCATTTGACTTTTAGAAGGCCAAACTTTGTTACTTGCACTCATAAGGGGCAGTATGCTTTATAACCCTACCTATGACGAAGGTACTAGTGGGTGCGAATATGGGTTATCTGGTAGGGCCAATGGAATCCACAGTGCTTTCTCCTAACACACAAACAACAACGTGTGTGTGATACCCATTGCTGGCAACCCTAGAGGGCAAGAACTCTGGGCTCAGAGAAAGAATGGCCTAAAAGGGCAACATCATCTACATAAGGAATTAACCCTTAACTCCAAATTGACAGAAACTCTATAGGGCAAGGAACTTTCTGAGTCTATCCATGGGTAAACAGGGTAATTTTGAGTACAGAGAACACTTTATTTACTTAAGCCTTTGGTTCAGAATTCTTCTAGTGACATTGGACAGCTTTTAAACTTGTCCATGAGCACAGATTCGTTGTGCACTGGAACTGAACAGAAACAAGGGGGACCCGACCTGTTGCCAGAGTGCAATGGCTAAGACTCTTCAACAAAGTCTTATAAGGCTAGTTGTTCATCTCTCATAAAGACCCTGTGCCATTCAGAGGACTCCTCACTGAAGCCAGAAAGGACAACAAAAATAAAATAAAAATCAGAACCTTTGCAGAAGATGCCTTCAAACCAAACTTGCCTACCAAGAACCATCCTACACCCCAAGGCAAATGGATTTCAAGATGGCAGGCGCTATCTGTGACCTGGGTTGAAGACAAACTGATCTATCAGGGGACTACTTCAAATAGTAATAGCAATTAGGTAGAGTAAAAAAAAATGTATTTAACAGCTGTTATGTTTTATTAAACTTTAGCACTACCAAATAAAGAAGTTGTTAGTTCAGCTATGCTGGAAGAATCCAACCCTGTAGACTGAATGCAGCCTTTATCATTGAAGTTTTCAGTCTTTATCCTCAATGGAACTTAAGTAGTATGAGTATGCTTATGTACTTTGTGTACCAGGCTCTTGGGCTAGGGACAGACATTCAAAAAGCCTGAGCCTGGACTGATTCAATCTTTGCAGGTTAGTCTAATCTGGCTAGGCTGAACCAGTTTGTAACCACACAGACATCCCCACTGGACTGAATAAATGCAGGCACAAGCCTGCAGTGGCTCAGGCTAGAAGCTGGGGGATACTAGAGCAGCCCTCCCTACCCTTCTATAGTGCTGAGTTGGGAGGGGGAGGGTGGCCCAGGCCCCAGAAAGATGCTTTGATTAGGCAGAAGTCCCTCCCCATTGCTGTCCACTTCCGGGTCTGCTGCCAAGCGCACTGGGGAGCCCCCACCATGTTCCTGTGGGACACTCCATCTGCCCCAGCATCTCAGTATTCACAAGCCACCTGGTACCTTGAGGTATGTAGAAAAAACATTTAAAGCTGTGTCTATGTCCAAATCACCAAATCTTTCAAAATCAATTTGGAGGTTTCCGATTCTATTCGGAGATATTAAAGGGTCCTCTGATTCAGTTTGGATTTGGAGATTTGGCCACCGAATCAGGCCAAATCGAATCAGGGACTGAAGCTTCACACAGCCCTACTGAACATCTGTTCTGTTACAGGTTTAAACCAGTTTGTGATTATATAAACCGGTTTATGTGTAATGTCTCTCCCTAGCCTTAAAGCCTGCCATTCCACAGTTTTTTTCCTATGGTACAAAGGAGAAAAGTAGTCAGGGAGACAGGTTTCTAAAACAAAGAATTCCATCTTTAAAGATAAATTGTGAAGATAAAAACAGGCTTTCCATTGGATTAGGAAGCACATCATAAGGCTACTTTGGAAAAATACAGTTGGAGTTTCTTCTCTTCTTATTACTGCTATCAAATCAAATCTTAAAGGTCACACAGTAATGAAGAACAACTTCACTTTGGTAAGCCAAAAAGCAGTAATATGTAAATAGAGATTTCATGAACTTCAGTTCATGCTTGAATGACCAGAGGTCATCCATCTGAATTTTGTGGGGGGAGAGACTGGAGAGAATGAATTTGGTTGCTTTCTCTCTCACATTTGTCCTTTATGCTAGTTAAAAGACAATAAAGACAACCTGTACTCCTACCTCTGCCCCATGCTTACCCTCATAGCGGTTTGCTTTTATAGATGTCGAGAAACACTAACCCACATTTACAAAGTTAACTCCTTCTCAACAACATGAGTTCTGGAGGAAACACTACGTGAAATACATGATGGCACTGGTAGCATTAGGTTTATTTTGACAATCCCAATGCAAAGGTTGCAGGACTCTTACTATTAACTCAGATTATCCTCAACATCAGATTCAACTGAATATTTTACTTGCAGTGTACCAAACAAGGGCTCAGTCTACAAAGTCTAAGGTCCCTTTTTCCACAAAGGTCCACCAACAAAATCCCACCTCTCTTCTACTTCTGAGAGCTGGCCTTCAGTTGTTTAAGCAGCCCTGGCACAAACTTTGGTGAATTAATGATCTTATGAACTACTGAACATTTAAGATTCTCTTAGTTCCTGGCTGGTATTGTGAAGAAAGTGGGGGGAAACCCCCACAAACCGCCATGCCTTGGTCAGTTTGGCGTACAGACACTCAACATGGAACCCCCCAGCATCCTAAAAGCAAAACTCCTATAATACAATTAAATGTAAGGTGACTGGGGCAGTTCCAGGGAGGCAAAGGCTCTCAATACACACAGAAAATGTTTAAAGATTGAGGCAGAGGATACAGGATTGAAAGGAGGAAATTTGCTTTCTCCCTCGACTGCCCAAGGGGATAAGAGATGCCTTGGAGAGAAGAGATTGGATCTACTCCATGTCCCACACTGTGCACTCTTCCCCTCATTCCACAGGATCTTCTTCACTCACTGATCAAGTCTCAATCTTCAGGTGAGACACAGGATCATTGCACCCTTTAGGATACATTTAGCTATACTGAAGCCAGGGGTTTCAATGGGGCAACAATTCCCCAGCTAGAAATTAAATTATAATGAAATTCTTAAAAAATATAATAGAGGTAACTGATATATAAAAGAACAATATATATTGTGACTGACACCATGGATAAAACGGTGCCAGATTTCATTGCAAACCGAATGGAAAGAGTTGTGTGACGGTATTTTACACAGTATTTTACACAGATTTCATTTTGAAATCTTTTATCTGCCATGATAAACCCTTTTCTGATAACACTTGGTTTTCCAGAGCTGGGCAGACAACAACTGAAACACTGCCTGATGTGTTGTCAAAACTGTGGATTACATGTCTGTCACCTCTGGTCCAGGTCCAAATATCTCTGGTAACATGCATGTGACTCTTCTCAGCCGGCTTCAAGTCAAATTCTTTTTTGCTATGAGAAAGAACTTAGCATTGCGGGGGATCTTTTGGACCATAAATTTCATGAGTGACTTCAAGCAAAGTATTAAACCATCCCTCACAGATCACCATCACTTCCCTAAATCCAGAAACTACAGCCAGCTGGTTTATTTGTTATATGATTGCCTTTTCTAGCTACTATTTGTGTGGCTTCACTGGATTTTTGCCAAACTTGTACAGCAGACAACTACTATTTCTTCCAATTTTCCTCTTGGTTTTGTTAAGGAATGCATACAACGATTAAAAAAAAGCAGATGCGTTTCAACCTGGATAACCCTTGTTTTAGCTATTGGACAGAATGGCTAATTGGAGAGTCTGAAAATGCCAACAAATATTTTTTATTAAATTTTTCATGGCTTCTTCCATGATGACAACAACATGATGACAGGTTACCTGGTGCTTTTGTATTTTTTCTTCTCTTGAGCATCTTACTATTTCTCTTTGACTTGGGCTCTCATAGCACTATGCAAACCATGATTAACATGAACAAG